GTCTAGTATACAGACAATTCGCTTTCATTTCGAGAATATACATTCTACTCTATCTGCCGCTTCATTGCTACCTATTGGAGAATTTAACACCTTGAAGTCATTGACCCTAGAAGCCAAGCTTTGGATGTCCTCATTCCTCAATGATCGGTCTTAGGCTCTTAGCATTGGCCATTCCTTCTCGCTTACAAATCTCAACCAACTCTTTAGAGTCCGATTCAAAAATTTGCATTCTGAAAGCCTAGGCTTGTAGTTGTAAGAATGGGATTTAATTAGTTTCATAATGTACCACAATCTTAAAATTTTGACATAGCTGAGATGTTTAATTTTTTTCTTCTAATTTTCTATTCTCTTTTTTGTTGCTGAATTCGACCATTTCTTACTCTAATATTTTCTTTGCCTTTTAAAACTTTTTAGGTGGCCCATTACTCTTTAAATTCTTTACTGACTTTGGCCAATTAGTTGTCAAACAATATATAGACCTTTTATCATTTCCATAAACTAGCATTCATCTTTTTTTTCTTATTCATATTAATTTTTAGTTTGCCATTCAAAACATTTAAACTAGAATGATACTTCCATGTTAGTCTCTCAATCCAGTCGATAAGAAGATTTTACAAAATAAAAAGATCAATAGTAATTTTACCTAAATGGGCTCAAAAGCCAACAAATAGATTAAGTTTTGGTTTGGGTACTATTTTTATAAATCTAAATCGAAAACTCTAACAAAATCTGGATTGGATACTCCCTAACCGTCGCTTGTCCAGTTCTTCTATTTGTTAGAGAAATCTACACAACTTATGAAGGGGTTGACACAGTCTACAATTTGTAGAGAGAGCTATCTCTTAAGTTCCTTGGAATTGTGAACCATAGTGGAAGGATTGCTGAAGCTTGCTTCGGGTTTTGATCTTTGAAACTGATAGCTCGGCTTCGGATTGTCGCATAGATTTCAGATCGACAGGTTCACTATATCAATAAATGGTTAAGATGTAAACTTGAGTAAAATGGTTACAAACTTTCAAAACAAACGAAAGTGAATCACGTATTCAAGTGACTGACTTTGTCAGAGCAAAAATTATTTAAAACAGAAAGAAACATAAAATAAATCAATTGATTTCAGTTTATATGTCCAAGAATTTTTGGGCCTCTATATTACTTATCAACAGAGAAACTGTAGGGCATATTTCTAAGTTGGCAATCGAAAGAAAGGAAAAGTTATCTATACTAAACATGAATTAGATAACTTTTCAGTTCCATTTTCATTATTAACCTTTGATCTTTGACCATTTAGTCTCTCTCTTGCTATTTTTTTTTTTGTTTTGAATTACGCTCTCTTACTAATTACCATCTTGTTATTCTTACGTAAAGAAAAAGCTATAGAACTTTACGCATATCATTCCTACCTAA